CATAAAAAAAAAAAAAAAAAAAAAAAAAAAAAAAAAAACACACATCATAGTAAAATTAATACCTTCTCCGTTTCGCATCGAAGCTAAAAAAAAAAACTATTTGAGTTTTTTCTGAGTGAAAAACAAAACAAAGAAAAATTGTAATTATTTTTTCCCGTTTTCTACAATGTTATATATTACAAGAAATTGTGGTTATGTGTTGTGTTTGGTGTGTTGTGTGTGAACAGCTGATCGGCCGGTAGTAGCGATATCCACTATTACTTGCGTAGTAGGGAGTCGGTGTAGTGATAAAAGTTAGACCGGTCCGAGTACATTGGGCGCGCGTGCGTACAACACACTATTTATGTTGCAGCTGCAACAAATATGGTATTACATTACAAGACTAATCTGTTGGTCTCCAAATATTTTTATGAATTATTTTAAACAGAAAGTAGTGGCAGATAAATTATTTTGTAATTACCAATGACCAAAGTCATTACTAAATAATGTGGCTACTCCTCGAGACATTCTCCGTGGGTTCTCGAAGTCGCTGCTGGCACAGTGAGCAGCACGCCACTCGAGGATTAAAAGAACTCTTCGATGGAACAGTTGACGAGGAGGAGTTTATCGTTGGAAAATGTGTTCTTTCTGAGGTTTCGATAGTTTTAATAATGTCATCCAAATTTTATGAATTTTCCCTAATTCATGTAATCCCGAATCGATGGGGATTATGTAGGGTTTTATGATAGCGGGTGAATTATTGATTTTATTAAATTTCGGTAAAAACAAACTGTTGTTTGATAATGTTAATTGGGGCACGAAATTTGTTTGAAAGACGAAAGATTGCTTAACGAATGTATGTGTGGATAGAATGTTGTTAGGTGTATGAACTAAACACTCCGTGTTTAGCGTTAAAATTCCAGTTTTTATCAATTCTTTCGTATATGAATTTTCACCGCATATTATATTTAATAATAAATATGCACATGAATATTAAAACTTTATAAATTTCATGAATTCATTAAACATGTAACGCATTTTGGAATACCCTTTTGACTATATCAAACCCATTCCTAAGCATTACATTCCCTACAAAGTGGAAATCAGTTCACGTAGAGAATGGAATATTATCACCTGACTGTGAAAGGAGGATTTGTATTATATACAGATGGATTCAAAAAATCAAGAAAGGTAGGTGTTGGCATTTGGGGTTTTAAACCTTAAATAAATGTCAGGACTAAACTGTTGGCCTCCAAATATTTTTATAAATTATTTTAAACAGAAAGTAGTGGCAGATAAATTATTTTGTATGTAGGATGAGTTTAAAATTCTTTATGATAAAAATCATCCTTTTTCTTGCGCTTTATATAGTAAAAATTCCAATCAATTAAACTTTCTAAAACAAGCCAACATTATTATTAGTGACCTTAGATTATCACAACCTATTAAAATATATGGAGTAAAACCTCCATATTTTGATGGTTTGCTATGGAGTATCAACGCTATTATAATGTTATATGAGCAACAGCAAAATTTAGGATACGATTATTTAATAACTAGTAGGTTAAACCAGGATGTTATAGAAAACACTTTTTTAGTTTATCGTCAAAGGGGAGGTTTTAATAAGAACTCTACGACTAGGACTTTCAGGACATCATTTAGAATTCGAGCTAAACACAATTTAATGAGATCATCTGAAACCTCAAATTATGAGCTAGATGATGACACTAATTTTGGATTTACCTTTATCTTCCACTAACGAAACTAATAACGAAACTACAACTGAAAATCCTATCGATTCCGATTATAGTTCAGACATATCTGAAATATCTTCCTTCTCTAATTCCTGTCCTACTATACAAGAACAACTGATTTCTGTTCCTACATTAACTTTAAAGACCTGCTCAAGTGTATATTTTGCTGGGTATCTCGGTAAAAAATTATTAAGTAAATTTCCATGTAAACCATGTGAAATTTATGAAAGAGGATACAAATCCTTTTAATGACAAAGATTTTTTAATATTTTATAAAACATTTCAAACACAAAATCAAATAATTACTAGTAAGTTGAAAAAACCAAAAGAAATTTTAATACATTTTGTTACTAATGCTCAACAGATAATTCATCATTTTTTAAATGAAAAGTCGTACACAACATAATTGAGTTATAAATTAAATAGTATAATCACAAATAATTAAACATTGAATAATATAAAAATCTTGACAGTGGACAAATCGGTAACGAGAAAGTTGTATGTATCTTAACTTATTGTTAAGATTCTCAACACTAAGAGAAAATTAAAAAAAATAATAATAGTCAAATTTAAATCAATATTAATAAAATAAAAAACACACATTATATCGAATTCGTATTTAAAACTAAAATATTCATTTAAATCAAATAAGTAATCGCCTTTTGGTTATGTAATATAATTATTAACACATGTACTAAATATCTCATATATATGAATAAAGCAAAAAAATCATCTAAGAAATTTTTCCCTTTTAGGGTAATGAAAATAACTATTTATCAACACATGTTTCAAACCAGTCCCCTACAATTCATTAACTACGCCCACGGCAGGGTTTCTATCACAATTAACCAATCACAAATAATTATCCAACATTTTAGGAATTTCAATAAAGATCGCTGGCTTTTTTCAACCGGCGTATAAAAAGCCATTTTTTTCGTAAAAAGGGACGATGATGACGATTAAGTGGTGAACATTGTCTTAGATGATTTATTAATATTTTAAACAGGAACAAGTTTTTATTTATTTTTATTATCACCTAATGTTCTCACATCAAATAAATATCATCTCTATTTTTTATATAAAGGTTTTAAATATTATTGTGCTCTTCATTTGTGGACAGCCTTAAATGTGCCGAACTAAATGAAGAAGCATAATTTGTGATTAGAATTAATTAGTTTTAGTAGTAATACTTTATGCCTGTATACCCGCCAGCCCTAAAGGACTATGCCAAATTACCTCTCGGTAACGTGTAGGCAGTTGAGGTACAGAGTAGTACTAAACTTATAAAAAGAGTATTTTTGAAGTGCGCTATATCCGTCGACAAGCCAGTTCTAGAGCTAGTAGTCCGGGTAGAGTTCATCATAAAATATATAGTCCGTAAGATAGGAAACTATATCTTGGAAATATCTTTTGCGTGTGTACCCGCCACCCATAAAGGACTATGCCAAACTACCTCTTGGTAAAGTATAGGCAGTTGACGTAAAGGATAGTAAAAGGTGTATTGAAATAATATTTAAAATATATTAACGAGGTTAACTGTGTCCGGGCCAGCCAAGGCTTTACGCTGAGAAACGCTGAACCACCACAGTCTTGTTAATTATATTTTGAATATAGATAGACATATTCTTATAATTATATTTTGACAAGTTGAGAGTAAATTTTAAGAATATCGATATCGACTATAGGGAATTCAGCAGTTCATATGACAATATGTGTATTTTCACTAAATGTATTTTTTACTAGATCATATTCAATTTCATTGACTAAGTCTACGTCATTATGTGAATCGATTTCAATAAACGTGTCCTTTAAGGTATTAGTTAAACCGATATCATTAAATGTATTTTGTACGACATTAGCTGAATTGATTTTATGAAATTCGTCTTTTACGACAATTTGTAAATTAATCATATTACGCGCGTTATTTTATATTTTGCGCGCTATCAATTATATTACATTTATTATTTACCCCATTATTATCATATTCTTTAAATTTATTATTTTACGCGCTATCATATTTTTTTTCAAAATTATTATATTTATTCTCATTATGTGCTTTATATATATCATTTGATTCATTAATATTCTCATATAAACTATTCTTTTTATACTTATTATGTTCATTATTCGCGCAATATTTATCATCTATATTTATTATTTTTCGGGGTATATCATTATTATTTATTTTATATATATTTTAATTTTTAATTTTATCAATTCTATATTCATTTAAATCATTATCATTTATATAATTAATTATATTTTTACTTAAGTCAGGGCTATAAGTATCATTGAAATGTTTATTATAAATATTTGTCATGACAGTATTTTGTGAATGATCATTCTTATTAGTGTCAATTTGTGTATTACGCGTAAATAATCGGTTATAGTGCACTGTATTTTCGTTTTCGCCATGTTCTGTGCAATAATTAAATATTACTACATCTATGATGTTCATGATACCTTCCCTTGAGAGACAGTCAGCTACTCTGTTCTCAATGCCAGGTTTATGTTTTATCACGAAATCATAATCTAAAATTTTCAAAGTTAATCGTGTTATTCTAGCAGAAGGAATTTTTAGATTTTTATAATATAATAAGCTCATATTATCTGAATATACGGTGAACTTTCTCATCCATAAAAATTCTCTAAAATATGTTATTCCAAATACTAATCCTAATAATTCAAGAGTAGTGCTAGAATATGTCTTTTCGGAATCAAGTAGTTTACGTGATGCGTATCCTACTGGCCTAATTATATTTTTATCGTCTTTTTGTTCTAAANTAATCAAGCAGTTTACGTGATGCGTATCCTAATGGCCTAATTATATTTTTATCGTCTTTTTGTTCTAAAACTGCTCCTAAACCCATTAAACTGGCATCAATCGTTAAAAATGTTTCCCTATCGTCTGAGAAGTGTGCCAACAACGGTTTAGAGGTCAATATTGTTTTCAATTGTTGAAATGCATTCTCGTGTTCAGATTCCCATGTGATTATTTTGGATNTATTCTTTTTTATTAGTTCAAGTAGTGGAGATGCTATTTTTGAAAAATCTTTTATTAATCGTCTTTTGTAACTGCACATGCCTAAAAAGCTTCGAACTTGTTTTGGAGTTTTAGGTGTTTCAAATTCAGTAACAGCTGATATATTTCGAGACAGAGGTGTTATTCCGAGCTCTGAAATGCCATGTCCTAGGAGTTCTATATGTTGTGCAAATAGGTTACATTTCGATGTTTTTAATGAAAATGAATAATTATCTAATATTTTGAATACGTTTTCTAAATTTAAAAGTGCAGTTTGAAAATCTTTCCCGAAAGTAGCTATATCATCAATGAATATTACTATTGATTTATATAGATATTGGGAGAATGCTTTATTTAGTTCTCTTTGAAAAATTGCACTTGAATTACGAAAACCTTGTGGTAAACGTGTAAATGTTAATAATCCATGAACTGTTGTAAATGCTAATTTATGTTGGTCTTGTTGCCTAACCGGAATTTGAAAAAAACCTGAGTTTAAATCAAAAGTGCTAAAATATTTTGATCCTTCTAAACTTCTGAATAAATCAGCAGTTCTAGGGAGGGGTAATTATCAGCCTCTACCATATTATTTAAGTCCTTGTAAGATACTTCTAGACGGTATGAGCCTTTTTCCTTTTTTCGAACTAAAAATGCAGGAGAAGCATAACTAGATTTTGTGTGTACTACAATATTAGTTGCCATTAATTTATCTAATTGTGTTTTTAATTCCTGGCGCTGCTCAGGTGAAACTCTATGAGGGGAACAAAATTTGGGTTGTTTTGCGTTGGGCTTTAGTGTTATATGACATGGTTTTACCTTAGCTGGGTGTACTTTGCTTAAATCGGTGGTGAATAAATGTGTATAATTCTTAATCAGATTTGTTAGTGTGTTATGCTGTTCGAGGTTAACCCGTCGTTGGTACACATATATTTCGTAACATAATTGTTACACTGTGAGCGTGACGCTCACACTTCACTTTATATATTATTATTAATTGATCGATTAACTTAAAAAATTACACCGTACCTAGAATTATGTATATTTTTATCCTTCACTAAAAAGTAAATAAATACTTTTTAAGTAAATGTCATAATTTATAAAATAAAAATAAAAAACTACAATCTTATTCCAAAAAAAAATTTTTTTTTCCTTATAAAGCAATACAAATTAATTAAAAACTTAATATAAATGAAAATTTATAAACTATTAAATTCATCACTTTGGTCTATTCACTTTCTGTACTACTTATTTCGTTGTGATCGTTACAGCAGGATACGCATGTGCTCGTCGTATGCTCCTTACATATTGGCACGCTGCATTTTACGCACTTGGTCTACAAAATTATTTCAAACAATTATTTGAAAAATTAGTTATATATAATATTATTATTATTATGTATTCATAAAAATATTTCCTCACCATGGTCTTTCGATTTTTTCTTTTTGGACAAAATACGCACTTCGGACGATGATCAATGTTTGAACGTTCAGGGACTTCATCTTCTGTCTTGGTGTAACCAGTCAATTTTATTATTCTTTGTCGAATACTTGTACGCAAAGTAGGCATCTGCAATCGTTCTAACATAAATGGTCTTGTAAGTTCTTTTCCCAAGGTTTTTAGAAATTTTCGACGACTTAGATAAATTCCTGTATTTTCTCGAAAAATAATTTGGCTATTTATGCCTCCTATGTTCATCAGAGAGAAAAAAATGGTCAGTGGCCACCTGCAACTTATTCTAGCCACAGAGTATTCGCCCTTCATTTCATCCACACAATCCACGCCACTTTTTGTACTGTTGTAGTACGTTATCACTTCTGGTTTTCTTTTTTCAGACTCTGGATCAATGACACCTTGTTCGTGCATAGTGGAAATAAGCAATACATTTTTATTTTTTTTTGGTACATATGACGTAAGCAATATGTCTTTGTCATAACCAAACATCGTAGAGTTCAATTGCCTTTTTTTAGTGTCTAAAAAACAAAGGGGAATTTCACGTTTGTTTTTACGAAGTGTACCAACTACAGTAGTGTTGTGATTTTTTAGTAGATCAATTGCTAGAGGTATAGAATTATACCAGTTATCCATGGTGATATTACGACCTGTTTTCGTAATTGGGGCGATTAATCTTTTTACTACACTTGCTGGGTCGTTTTCGCATTTATAAGGCCCATCGGGCTGAGTCCCAACGTACACTTCCATTTTCGACGTATAAAAGGTGCTAGAGTCGACTAAGGCCTGGATTTTTATACCATATTTGTTAGGTTTACTTGGGATATACACTCGGAAACTACAACGGCCTCGAAAACTTTCGAGCATTTCATCTATAGTTACATTTGCCCCCACTGTATAATAATTCTCGCAGCGTAGAACAAATTCGTCAAATATTGAATGAATGGCCGCAAGCTTATCAAATTGTTTTCTCTGAGCCCGTGTACCTATATCGTCAAACCTCATTGCTCTTAGAAGAATATAAAATCGTGCTTTTGGCATAACTGCTCGAAAATACTCTGGAGATAAGCCGTCATTTGACCATAAATCATCAAGGTTGAGATGATTACCACGTTGAACACCGGCCAAATATAACAGTCCAAAAAGCGCGTTTATTTCGGATTTTGAGGTTTCGCGTACCATATGTTTTTGTGTATATTTTGAACGAATTTTATCCAGATATATGTTGGTGTATTTTACTATATCGTCAATCATGGAATCAGCAAAAAATAAGTTCCAGCACTTCAAAATAGAATTTGCATTGCGACCTGTTGGTTTTACGCCTGGTAAACGTAAAACGAAGTTACGTTGGCGAGTACGTACATTTTTAGGAGGAGCGTCTTTATACCATTTTGTTTGTTTATCTTTTCCTAAGTAGTAAGAATTCTGTGCTATAGGACTATGACTTCTTGAACGAGAGGTTTGTGAAGTATTTGATCTTTGAGTAATTATACTAGGTGTAGGTTCAGAAATGTCACTATCAGACTCATTTTCACGTAATTCGGCGGGATCTACATAACTAGGATCAGCATCGGTATCGTCTGAGTCATCTAAAAAAACTTCTTCGGTCTCTTCTAACCACAAAATAACTTTATTGGACATGATAAATTAAAAAATAGTAAAAACACGTGTACGTAATCGACTGTGACGGTGGTGATAAAAATATTGCGCGGTTAGTACAGTGTTAGCGCGACGCTCACTAAATCGGTACAGTCGACTTTGTCTATCGATAACTGATAGGAAATGACAAATAGCGCAATCATTTATTTTTAAAAATATTTATAGACATGTTATTTGAAGGTATTTATAGTATCAGATTAATTCAATAATATTTGTACGAATAACGCTCGAAATGCTATCTGTGTGAGCGGCGCGCTCACATGTGTACCAACGACGGGTTAANCTCACATGTGTACCAACGACGTGTTAAATGTGGTGATATTTTTATTTCTGTAGCCTCGGAGTCATAAATGCGCTCTTTGTTATTGTCTAGAATTGTGTTAACATCTAGCTTTTGAGTCTTATTTTGCGCTATATATGTTTTAATGTCTTGTTTAACTGATTCTAAAGATATAAAATTAGTAGTATGTACTATTTTAGAAATGCTTTTATTGTTTTTCTTTAGTATACCTGGTATCCAGTGTGTACCTTCATTTACAAGGTAAAGAACTATTAATTGCCTATCGCCAGGACCATGTACATATCCTAATTTGGAATATTTTATATAGATATATAAATCAAAGCCATAAAAATTTGATAACGTTGCTAATTGATCGTCATGCCACCAGTAGTTAGGTAGTTCTTCCAGATCTAATAATTTATATATTTTAGCTAAATTTGTTATTTGGTTTCCATATAAGTTCAAAGAATTTATTAACGCATAAATTTCACATCGTCCGTCAGAAGGAACATCTTCCCCTAATTGATATTGTGAAAACACATTCATAAATTTTGATGTAGAAGTATCATTAATAATAAAATTAATGTTTTTCTTAAGGTTTTTTATAGAAGANAAATTAATGTCTTTTTTAAAATTTTTTATAAAAGATTGCACGTTGGATATAACATCATTATTGTGTTTAGGTATTGAAAGTATAGGGTAATAGATTAATATATCTATCGGTTGATTTTGGAATATTTCAAATATCATGTTTTTGATTGTATCCCAATATAAGCCATCACAAATTAAATCTACTGAAGAAAATGTTACGAAAGGAAACTTTTCTTCTAAAGCAATATTTTTTAGATTAAAGAGACTTTCGAAGAGATCTAAGTATGAAGCCTGAGAATTACAAAACTCTTTTGTTATTTATAAATGTATTATTTTATCAGATATTATTGTGTTTACTTGACCTAGATATATGTTAGTATTTTTTAGCAAATCTGTTATGTTACCAAATTTATTAGTAACATTTTCAAATATTTTAGATTTATATTTTAGGTCAGTAGATGTGCATAAAGCTATGGTGTAATTATTGGGAATATTCATAATATCTATAAATGTTTCTTTGATATTGTTATTTTGTTTACAACAGTTGGTGCTTTTTATNCGTTTCTTTGATATTGTTATTCTGTTTACAACACTTGGTGCTTTTTACATGATGCATGGTTTTTTCTATATTTTCTATTGTGTTTTTAAATTTACTATTCATTATAGTGGTAGTATCCCCTTGTAACATAAATTCAACGGATTCGTATTTTCTTATATTAGCTTTTAAATCTTTTAAACTATTTTTGTCTAATATACCGACATATCGAGCTATTTTTGGGTATAAACCTTTCATTATATTATGTACTAACTCGGATTGTGACATTTTAGGATCTACGCGCTTACATAATTTTTCGGTGTCATTAATGAAAGAGGCAATGGACTCATCTGGGAGTTGTTTACGTTTAAAGAGCATAATTTTAAGCATATGATTTTGTGCAGTGGGTTCAAATTCAATACGCATGGCGTTTTCTAGGTCAGGCCATTTTACTGAGGGGTTCTCCCTTTCATAATTTTCATAAAATATTAGAGCAGTATCAGTTAAATAAATAGCTAAGAATGATTTCTTTTGATCGGGTGACCAATTATTTATAACTAACTTCCCAGTGTGCATCATTGTGGAATATACGTTTGTAAAAACTAATTCCACCGTGTATTTTAAAGCTGTGGATGGTTTATATATTTTTTTCGTATTATTTAATAATTAATTATCGTTCAGCTAATTATTAGATGGTGTATAATGCAACTAATACGACGGTTATAAATAGTGGATTTTATGTTTAATCCACGGTATATTTTAAAGCAAATTTTTCTTTATATTTATCTGTTAATTATACAATGAAACAACATGTTTTCGCCAGATAATAGTTGGTATATATTACGATGGAAGGAAGTTGTTTATTTTACGTTTATTCAAGCGTATATTTAAAAAAAAATGTTTAGATTAATTTGTTTGTTATACAATAATTCAACGTTGTATATATACATATATATATGTTTGATTTTTTTTAAATTACTTTTTCTAATATTAAAAAATAGTAATATATTCATTAATGAATACGTTATTTACCCTAATAAATTTTGATTTGTATATAAAAAAGATTTGTATATTCAAAAACTAATTGGTGAAACATTTTGGTAAATTATAAACTAGCTATTGTAAACTAAGCGTAATTTACCGTGGTATAAAAGTCGTGTGTTTATTACAAATTACTTTTATCAATACCGTTTATCAATAATAATTCATAGTCAATGTTATATCACGACAACATTTTTATCCATTTCGAGTATTTTGCTTAATTTTTTATATACGTATAGCAATCGTCACTAGCATTTACTAATTAATATAAACTATTAAAGATTAATCATAAGTAGTTCTACAAACTTAATTCCATTTTCTCGTATGTTGGAATAAATATGAAAAATGCAAATGATGTCTTGAAGTTTATACTACAACTAAGGATTACATTAACAGTTAAAAATGTTTTATTCATATTACTAAGTATTTCATGTATGCAATATTTTAAAAACTACAAAACTCTCCACATCATTGTGTAGTGGATTTGATACTATACAGGCTTTATTAAAACCGTTTTCATGATTAAAAGTAAAGATCTCTAGTTGTCCCAAACTTTTACATTTCTATACCCCAACATTAAATGATGAAATATTGATGTCATCAGCCTTGCCGAAAGTTCATTAATGAAAAGAAATCTCCGTCCTACAAAATGCATACAATTATTTTGTTTAACAAGATTTTCCACAATAAATATAATAATATTTTGGTCTTTCACTATTATACAATCATCACGATGGGTAAATTTACTTCTTTTTTCTTTAGTTCTTATTTGTATTTTAAAATGTTCAAATTGAATACACATAAATTGTTCATAAGTTCCTGTTATATGTAGTAAAGGTCCATTATTAAGTTTTTCTCTATAAATAGGAAAATCTTTTGAGGTAAGTAAAAATTTTTCATCACGTGCTGATCTGTCTTCTGTTATTCTATTATACATTTCTGTTATAGCATAACGTCCAGATTTTAAGTACTTTTTTAATCTGCCCAAATAGTTTTCATACCAAAAAGCATTGAAGTAATTGATGTTACCATATTTTAGTACATCGTTGGGAAGATGAAGTAAGGAATGTACATTATATGATATTAAAAATGGCCCGTAAATTATACCAAATGTTTGAAAGAAGTACTTAATTAATGATGTTGCAACATCATTTTCTTTTTTTTCTGTTGCTTTTGGTGATGCAAGGATTCGCATTGCACAGTAAAAAGCAATAAAATTCTTATAAATTGGTTCAGGCACTATATCTTTAAATATCAAAGCACCTGAATACATCATAATTTGTCTAAATTCAGTTGCCTTAAAATCAGTATAACTATTTAGTGACAGTGGTATGCGAACAAAATCTGTGCTTAAAGATGGTGCTATAATTTCCATTCTTTTATTAATGTAATCTATTTTTGTCGAAGAAAGTCTAACACAACCAAATGAACCTGTCTGTTTTATTGATCCTTTGACCATTAGGGTAATAATTTTTTTCATTATACCTTAAATTATAAAAACAACATATTAGAGTTGTCCAAAAAAGGTTTTTTATTCAAAATTATTGTTCTTAATATTTCTCTAGTTACTGGAGCTTTTTTCAGTTTATATATAATAATTTTTACAAATATTTATAACTAGGGAGTTGTTAAAAAATAT